CCTGTCTAAATTTCCCCCTGGTTCTAGATCTCCAAAGTCAGTCCCAAATGTAAAAGCCCCCATCAGAAACTCACCATAGTATTTGCTAGTGGAAGCCAGAGAAATAGGAAGGTAGTTGAGAACATGGGACATACCTGGGATTAGGGAAAGACAACCGAGGGCAACTTCTAGGCTTCTTGGCTCATGTAGATCTCATAGTTAAATTCCCATGTGCTGTGACATCTTACATTTATCCATAAGGTCTTCAAAGATTGTTTCGGAGGTAAATCTCTGGTTCTCCCAGTTTAATGAGATACTACCTAATTCTGGGTTCTCCATGACGTACTGGCTTGAGGGTCCCAATACTGAGTATGTGATTGAATTAACTGAGTTGGATGCTATTCTGAGCTGGAAATGTGTGTTTTGTCTTACTTATGAAGGAATGAAAGTGGTTCCAACTCAGTTGCTATCCTTCACTTTAATGTTTATATTTTTCATAAAATTTCAAAATGTGAAAAATGTATAGAGACTGAGACAATGAAATACATAAACTCAACATCCAACTTTTTTTTCTGAGTTACTTGGTTTGAGACTTTTTTTTATTATTAAGGTATAATTGATATACACTCTTATGAAGGGTTCACATTAAGAACAATGTGTTACTACATTCACCCATATTATCGAGTTCCCCCCATCCTATTGCAGTCATTGTCCATCAGTATAGTAAGATGCCACAGTCACTATTTGCCTTCTCTGTGCTACACTCTTCCCCATGATTCCCCCCACACCATGTGTGCCAATCATAATACCCCTCAATCCCCTACTCACTCCCTCCCCTGCCCCTCCCCTTTGGTAATCACTAGTCCCTTCTTGGAGTCTGTGAGTCTGCTGCTGTTTTGTTCCTTCAGTTTTGCTTCATTTTTATACTCCACAAATGAGGGAAATCATTTGGGACTTGTCTTTCTCCGCCTGACTTATTTCACTGAGCATAATACCCTCCAGCTCCATCCATGTTGTTGCAAATGGTAGGATTTGTTTCTTTCTTATCAACATCCAACTTTAAAAAAACATTTACCTTCTTTTGATTTAGATTTTCATTTTGAAAAACTAGACCGTTACAGATACAATTAAAACCCAAACTACTCCATCCTATTCTCTATCCTCCTGCCTCCCCCAAGATATTCTCTATCCTACAAAAACTTTGTTATTCTCTTGCATGATTTTAGAATACATATATATATGTCATATGTTTTTATACCTATATATAAATACCTGTTTTACAAAAGTAATAATAGTTTTACATTTTAAAACTTCTTATCTGTTGTACTTTGCTATCATTCAGAACTGGCATTTTTTGGTTAGCATTATCACTTGGAAACTTAAGCTTGTTAATGCCTGTGGCTCTGATATTCACTGCTGCTTAGAAAGAGTAAACCACAAATTAAAATATGTATATGTAGTTGTGGTTCAGTAATCTAACTGAATAACATCCTTCTTCCAGGAAGAATACCATCTCTGTTATAAATCACAATTTCTAGAAACTGAGATTTGTTTCAGGGCTGTCATTTTCTCTATTTCACAGGTCCATTTAGTTGAGAATGATTCTCAAAAAGCTTGAGAACCACTCTCATAGAGATTTAATTATCTCACCACAATGTTATTAAATTAGAAATCAGTGATGAAAGGTAGCTTAAGAAAACATGTCTTAAACTAAAATGCATCCCCAAATGTTTTCAAAGTCTTAAGGAGAATTTGAGAAAGGGACTAAGTGCATGGAAAAAGTTAGAGAAGGCTGCATTGAGAGAATTTGTTGGGATGAAGATACATGAATTTTCTTTGGGCTACTGGATCCAAGGAAGGTGTATAAGCTAGATAAGCTGTGTTTTCCACCCAAGAGGGCCTCCTGCTAGGGTGAGGCAATCTTAGAAGATCAAACCTAGAGTGGTACAGTCAGATGTCAGTCCTAAAGGAAGATTTGAATTGCCCTTGTGTGGGAAGAATGCAGTAACCGTTACAAGAGGGTGGTCTCAAATGGGCTCCTGTGATGCCACAAGGGAAAGATTCTATCTTTACAGTGTGTACCAAGGGCACCACTCAATGAAATCTTACCTTTCCTTCTACTCTGACACCTTAATAGCCAGACAACTGACAGGAAAGAATGGATGAGATGGTGCAGTAATGAAGTCTACCACGTCCCTCTTTCCCTAATGCAGGTTTCTGAGTGAGAATATAACTCCTCCTGGAGAAGGAAGAAAAGTTTAAATTGCTTGGGATTTAAAGTTTTGATTTTCATTTGGGTTGGACTTGGAGTACTTAAAAACTAGGTATTTTTCAGAAGCAGCAATGGGAAGAAGTTGCTTCCTCCTTTTCCTTCACAATGTTGTTTCTTCCAAAGGCTTCACTGATGATTTTCCCCTTTGATCTTCTCTGTCTTATGAGATGGAGAACATCTTACTACTATTTGACAGATGAGAAAACATAACTTGCTCAACAGCACATAGCTAGTAAGTGGAAGATGCAGTTAGATTCTGTGTAAGCCTGACTCTAAAACCTTTGCTATTAACTTACAGACTGTTGCCCTTTAATAGAGACTCTGTTTCATTTATTTAACAAATATGTAATAATCATCCCCTAATTGGTAGGCTCTGTGCTAAGTATTCAGAAGTCAGTGACGAATATATGTTCATATGTGTATATATGTGCAAGGTGCATATGTATATGTGTGTGTATGCACAGAAACATACGTATTCAAGTGCCTAACAGTCTACATTGAGCAGCAGGCAGAAACAGTAGTTACAAAATGAATTGAAGAGTGAAAAGTGCTTTAGAGAAACACTGTGGAGGGACTCAATGAAGACATCAAGTAGAAATGAAACCTGAGTCCTCAAGACGTGGAGCCTTTCACCAATTAGTTTGAAAGTGGGGTTGAAGTTTGGCTCTGGAGGGGTGGGATGACTTTCCATGGAGGAGGTAACAGGGTATGTAAAAATGTTTCTATTTTTGGATAATTTAAAGGGATATAGAATTTGAGCTTGATATTTATTTTCTCTCAGTTCTTTGAAGATATTGTTTCTTTATTTTCTAGTGTCTCTTGCTGCTGAGAAATCTATCAGAAAAACTCATAATCTTTCCTTTTTCTCTGATTTTCATTTCCCTCTTTATTTGCTGTTTAGCAGTATGCCTAACATAGTGTCTATGTATGGATTTTTTAAAATGTGTTTTGTTTGGGAGTTCTTGTGGTTCTTCAGTCAGAGGATACATTTAATGAGTTTGGAAAATTCTCAGTCTGTGTCTCTTCAATCTTGCCTCTCCTCCTTTCTCTTAAGATTCTTCTTCTTGACTACTTAGATGTTATGGTGGATCCCACTTTTTCTTCCCCAAATCTTACCTCCCCTCTCCATATCCTCGTCACCTTGCACTGTTGCCTGGATATTTTTCTCAGAACTAGCTTCACTTTTCAGCCACTGTCCAACCCAACCATTGAATTTGAAATTTGAATGTGAATATTTTTATGTTCTGGTCATTCTTTTTGGGTCTTTTCCAGACCTCTTGTTTTATTTTTTATAATATTTTGTTTCTGATCATCTTTAACTCCTTGTTTTAGACACACAGTATTTTAAACAAAATTTTTAATTTCTAACAGATTTATTTTATGATGATCAGAGGAAGATAATCCTATTATTTGATTGCTGATTGTCTTCATAATGAATAGGTTTTGGGTGTGCACTGTAATTTTGAATAGTGAGCTCATCTTCTTGGTTTTTATTTATTGAAATACCATTTATGTTATATTGGTTTCAGATGAACAACTTGGTGATTCATCAGTTGCCTACATTACCAAATGTTCACCATGATAAGTGTGGTTACTGGATGTCACCATATAAAGATATTACAATAATATGAGCTGTATTCACTGTGCTATACTTCCCTCCCTATGACTAAATTATTTCCTAATTTGAAGTTTGAGATAATTTGAAGGATTAGGCATGAATAAAAGATGAGGAGCTAGAGACATTAAATACAGCAATTTTTTCATGGGCTTTGCCACTGGCAGGAGATAAGCAGGAGTTGGTTGAAAGATAATACTGAATGGAGGGTTTATGACTGTTTGAGGGACTTTATCAGGGTTTGTGGCTGACCGAAAGGGAGTCACTAGAATGGATGAACAGGAATAAATAAGGGAGAATATGCTCTAATAAGTTAAAGGAGTGAAGTCATAGTCCTAGCGGAGGAGCACTAGTGATCAGCTGAATTTGAGTTTTCCAGGAGTTTGAAGAACACAAATAAATTATCTGGAGTTGTCATGACCTCTAACATATGACCCATGACTTGCTTTTTGATCCCAACTGTCTTTCAGGCAGACTCCCTGTCACTCATCATGGGCTGTACCCCTAATGCTTCACACTCTCCAGTCTTCTTGCTCCGTGGCTTCTCAGGAGCTAGCGTCTCCCCGAGTCTCCTTTTTGTCCTGTTCCTGGCTGTCTACCTGATGACCGTGGTGGGGAACATGACCCTAGTGCTGCTCATCTCCCGGGACCCCAGGCTCCACACGCCTATGTACTATCTGCTCCGCGGTCTCTCCGTGATAGACATGGGGGTGTCCACAGTCATCCTGCCCCAGCTGCTGGCCCATCTGCTCTCTAATTCCC